AGAAATTTAGATAATTATTATAATATATGAATATATATTATATAATATTATATAATATTATTATATTATATTATATTTATTATATTATATATTATATATATTATATATATTATATTTTATTATATTATATTATATATTATATAAAATAAAATTCAATTTTATTATTATAATAGTAAAAGAGAACAAAACTTCACTTTATCATCGAATAATAAATAACTTATTAGGAAAGATTATAAGTACAGAATAAAATGTTATTAATTTGATGGATTACAAAAGTCGCAAATTACGTTTACTTTCAGGTGAGACAGTTACCTGTGCCGTGGACTCATGGACAACCTGCGAGGAATTGGCAAATCTCGCGGTCCACAATCATGGCGTCGACAATTCCGGCTGGACGATCACTCTATGGAATCAATTGGACGGCCCGGACGCTATTGTTACGGAAACCAATGGCTTCGACTACGTCCTCGACTTAATCTCCGAAATGGAGCTAGCGCCAGCTTTCCCAGCTGCTAAACACATGTTCCTGGAGCAGCGGAAGAACAGTTTCCCGCCTATTAAGAAACGAGAAGTAAGTCGCTAAATTGGTTAAATTGTGTGTGTGTGTGTGCGGATTGATTTCTGATATTTAATGGGATTTAATTGCAGCATACGCAGATCATTCGAGAATTGGAGCAAGAAATAGAGCCACCGGTGTTAAAGACCTTCCAACCTCTTGAACGGAAACCTGTGCCGAAGGTTGTCGATAAACCTGTCGAACCGGAAATCCAGTCGCCCAGGAGACCTGCTGTTCCGCCACCGCAACCACCAGTTGCGAAACCATCGGTAAATCTAATATATTATTATAACTGGTACTATATACTAATTTATAATAATTATATTCAGTAAATCGAAGAATTTTGCTAAATTTGTTCACGTGGCATTAAGTGGATTTTTGAGACTGTGGATGCTGTTATTGACATTATTTTATTAGTGGAAGTTGTTTGTTACATTAATATTAAATTAATATGAGAGTGTCACTGAAATGTTAGTTGCAATTGTAATTATTGTTGTGAAAAACTGTTTTCCAACTTTTTTAAACCATTTAAGTGGAAGAATATTTTGCATTGAGATTAAAAACTACAGAATAAATAATGCACGAACAATATTTCTATATCAAATTATTAATTTCTCTCCATAATTCTTCGATCAAATACGATGCGATGCGGTGACCTAGGAAGAGTCTCAGCTGGCCTAGATTTATTAATGAAATATTTAACTTCTAATTGTGCTCCTTCCAGGTGAGGAAACAGTCTCACGAGGCGATATTGGAAACAACGGCGGCGACAGGATTGTCTCGAAAATCGGCCCTCAACGACAGATACTTCGAGAGGGAAAAGCAGCGCAGTCGCAGTTTGGACAATCTTCTCCAACCGGAAGTGGTGTTGCCACCTGTGAAACTAGCGAATCTCGGATTATCGTCGTCGAAGTTGAACGAACGTTATCACAGCTTGGAAAGAATCGGGGAGACGTCTGCTGTCAGCAACGTGGAGTACATGACGAGGTCCGAAATCACGCAGGAAAGGAAATACAGCAGGATAACGAGGTCGACGGAGCCGAACATCGAGGAGGAGGATCTGACGATCGATTTCGAGTACCCTGATATCCAATCGGTTAGCCAGACCGGAAGATCGGAGGACGATAAGAACAGCTACATTAGGTCGCAGACCAGGTTCATCAAATCTCAGTATCCCGGTGAGCATACAACTTTTGTTACCGCACTGTACAATCGCCGTGTAATCAAAATGCAATCAAAATGCAATCGTAAATTAAGCTATATAAATAATAACAGCAAGAAGTTCGATAAAATTTGACTTAGTTTTTAATTATATCTTACGTTCTCAGAAATTATTTCTTTACGTACACTACAGTCCTTTGTGTAAAATCCTATTTTCGTACCGAATTTGCAATAAACAATAATGTGCAGTCTGAAGATGCGCGTTCACAGAACAGTCAAATTTTCCTGAAATCTACAGAAATCTTGATTTTCGCAAATATCAGTAGTTTTTCTATTATCACCGATGCTAATGACGTCGTAATCGACGTTGCAATTGACGCGATAATTTGTTTGAATCGCCTAATTAAAAGCTTCACCGAAAGGATTACGTCTGAGACGAAAGTTGGTACGTTCACCACTTTCTTTCTCTATCGGTGTAATGAAGGAAAACTTTCGCTTCTTTCAATTTCGTTTGAAAAATGGATACGATTTTCAGTCACGCACTCAGCTTTGGTACATTCTTTCAGCAACTTTCGAACACGAACACTTTATGTGTGTGTGTTCGGTTCTCTGCGAATCGCGCGTAAAAATATATTTCGCTTCCGATAGATTAATGCCGGCCAGCTGAAATCCTGTACAATAAACCAGAGAAAATCCCGTATCCATCGGAGACTTTCCCATTCATTAGCAGTAGGTCGAGCGGTGCATACATAAATGATGAAATTCTCCCATACCGCGAGCACGTTGTTCGAACAGATGGTTATCACTCGTTACAATTTCCTACGCGTCGCTCGCAAAACCTAAACTGCAACGTTAATAACTCCACGATCCCAATTACGCGTCGCGTTCAACGTTCATCGCTTCTGATTGTTCCACGAAAAAAAAAAGAAAACGAAAAAACAAAAGCTGTTTCTCTGTATCCGAAGGTAAACGAGCGCTACCGGGCAGCCAATCGAGTCGAGCCTACATCGAGAAAAGCGAGTACGGTGTGAAATCGTCCGCCATGTCTGACACGAGCGAAGCTCCCTCCCTGGCGTCGCACGTCAGACGCGTCAGGGTGCCTAGTCAGGCTTCGGATGTGGATCAGTTCTTGGACGAGTTGTTCATGCCGGTTCTGGACGGGAATCTCGACGAGTTGTCGGACGCTAGGAGCTTGGCAGCAAGTATCAAGGGCACCGGCGATCACAGGGGTCAGGGCGACGGTGTTCTCCTCGATACCCTAAAAGCTAGGGTCGTCGACAGAGCTCGGACCGACGCAACAAGCGTCGAAAACGTTCGGGACTTTATGAAACTGATGTTCAGCGGCTGCCAAGATGAACCCATCTCTGCGACAGAGCTGTCCAGGAAGATCAAAGGTGGCGGTACTATAGACACGCCTGATCGGCAAACGACGATCTACGACACGATTCAGGACGACGAGCCGGGCATCGAGAACGTCCAGGATTTCATGGAACTGATGTTCAGCGGGTCCCAAGATGAAGCGATCTCGGCGACAGAGCTGTCCAGGAAGATCAAAGGCGGAGGTAACATGGACATACCGAACCAGAACACGACCTTCAACTTCGGCGCCATCACGCCGGGGATGATGTCCCCGCCCATGATGATGCCAATGTTTAGCGCGTCGCAGCAAGTGCCGCCGCCGCAGAGCACGAGCATGAACATGGGCGCCGGCTTCATGCCGATACCCATTTACAGCATGCAGGGTCTCAGCCTGCCGCAGTACCCTAACTCCCCGCCGAGCCAGAACAACGACATGATGGCGTACCAGCAGAACCTCCAGAGGGCCTTCCTCCAGAGCGCCATGGCGCAGAACATTCAGATCCAGCAGCAACTGTTGGCGCAGAACCAAGCCCTGCAGCAGCTGCTGGTGCAGAGTCCGAACTCTGGACAGCAACCGGTGAGAACCTCCTCGGAGATCCTTTTCTGTGAATAATGATTACACACATCGGAATGTCGTTGACGTCTCTCTCTCTCTCTCTCTCTCTCTCTCTCTCTNCCACGAAAAAAAAAAGAAAACGAAAAAACAAAAGCTGTTTCTCTGTATCCGAAGGTAAACGAGCGCTACCGGGCAGCCAATCGAGTCGAGCCTACATCGAGAAAAGCGAGTACGGTGTGAAATCGTCCGCCATGTCTGACACGAGCGAAGCTCCCTCCCTGGCGTCGCACGTCAGACGCGTCAGGGTGCCTAGTCAGGCTTCGGATGTGGATCAGTTCTTGGACGAGTTGTTCATGCCGGTTCTGGACGGGAATCTCGACGAGTTGTCGGACGCTAGGAGCTTGGCAGCAAGTATCAAGGGCACCGGCGATCACAGGGGTCAGGGCGACGGTGTTCTCCTCGATACCCTAAAAGCTAGGGTCGTCGACAGAGCTCGGACCGACGCAACAAGCGTCGAAAACGTTCGGGACTTTATGAAACTGATGTTCAGCGGCTGCCAAGATGAACCCATCTCTGCGACAGAGCTGTCCAGGAAGATCAAAGGTGGCGGTACTATAGACACGCCTGATCGGCAAACGACGATCTACGACACGATTCAGGACGACGAGCCGGGCATCGAGAACGTCCAGGATTTCATGGAACTGATGTTCAGCGGGTCCCAAGATGAAGCGATCTCGGCGACAGAGCTGTCCAGGAAGATCAAAGGCGGAGGTAACATGGACATACCGAACCAGAACACGACCTTCAACTTCGGCGCCATCACGCCGGGGATGATGTCCCCGCCCATGATGATGCCAATGTTTAGCGCGTCGCAGCAAGTGCCGCCGCCGCAGAGCACGAGCATGAACATGGGCGCCGGCTTCATGCCGATACCCATTTACAGCATGCAGGGTCTCAGCCTGCCGCAGTACCCTAACTCCCCGCCGAGCCAGAACAACGACATGATGGCGTACCAGCAGAACCTCCAGAGGGCCTTCCTCCAGAGCGCCATGGCGCAGAACATTCAGATCCAGCAGCAACTGTTGGCGCAGAACCAAGCCCTGCAGCAGCTGCTGGTGCAGAGTCCGAACTCTGGACAGCAACCGGTGAGAACCTCCTCGGAGATCCTTTTCTGTGAATAATGATTACACACATCGGAATGTCGTTGACGTCTCTCTCTCTCTCTCTCTCTCTCTCTCTCTCTCTTGTTTTCTGGGACGATGCGAGTCCAGGCAGGTGCAATATTCAGCAATGCTTGAAGCGATTGTTGATGGAGCGTGATGCGAGCCCGCTTTCGAGTTGACCCGTTTGCACGATGATCGCCAACTATCGCCAATTATTCAACTATTCTTAAGATTAATAACCAGATTAACCGTTAACTATCACCACGTCAATCCTATTCGATCTGTGTCACGACTTCGTCTCGTGAACAGGTGCACATCATGCGGACGATTCCGCGGTCGGTGATTATTCCGCTCGCGGGTGCAAATGGGTTAATTCGAAAGGTGAACAACACGCTGTAGAAGATTCGCATGGAGAAATTCTCAAGGATGTCTTCTAGACTTTCTAGCAGTCCTTGAGTTTCAGATCGCGGAATGACCGAGGTAATTTTTCCGTCGATGCTGATTATCCTCTTACGTCGTCCCAGAAAACGATCATAGTACTCGGACACACATCGGGCACACGCATAGACCGAACGAGAACACACCGTGTAAAAAATGACAACGACGGACACAATTGAGATTCTTTGGCTCGTCGGCCAGCCGCGCGCGGTAACACTTTAACGACGTGTCGTAACGACCGTAAACAGAGAATTGCATGGTAAATGTCATCGCAGTGAATGGATAGCCGCGGTCCGGCGTGTCACTTTCACGATCACATGTAACTAGTACTAACACGATATCACTATTGCACAACGACACTGCACGAGAGCGCAGCTTCGGCGATCCGCGATCGCTCCCGATCGAGAGACCGTGTCCCTCCGGGCGATCCAGGCAGGCTTTTCAGCCGCATCGCGGCATGGGTGTGTGTTTCCAGGGCACGGCGTTGTCCGCGGGCCCCTCCAGTATGAATCTTGTCCCCCCAGCCCCCCAAAACGGTGCCCAAATGGGGCCCAATGATTCTATTGGACGCTACTCCAAGGTATCTACTGATTTCATCTAACATGCGCTGCCTCTGGCAAAAGGTGCTCGATCGAACGACGCGATTCGCTTCATCGCTCGCGCGCATCTGTCCTCGACAAGTTTATTAATAGCAGATTTCTTTATGATCTATGGATCTTATTCAAAATCAGAATATTCTTTTACAGCTCTCTGGCTATTTTTACAGCTGCTTTTACAGCTCTCTCTGGTATTTTGTTCTGTTGTTCCTCTTTTGTTGCTTAAGTTGATTTTGAACCTTAATTCTAAGAATTATAAATTTGTTGATTTATGTTTAGAGGTTGTTATTCCGTAGTTTCAAGTTATATAAATTATTTTTGAGCATCGACAAACAATTCAGGCTATAAAGAGTTAATCATTTTAATGAGCTGTCGATAATATATTGATACTCTCAAGCATTCTTTTCATCTTTCTACTATTTTACATTTTTATTGTAATTTATATTTAATTTTATATTTTTCTTGTAATTATTAGTCTTTCATGCGTTTACTGTAAACATGGATAAACGAAACGCAGAGCTGTGAACACGCAAAAAGAGTTACAAGGTAACGTTCACTGTACTAACGTCATTGAAAGAAGGAATACATTTTTATCCAAGCCTGATTTAAATCGATGAGGAAGTCTAAAAAAGTTCGCAGTCTAATAATTATATTAAACCCGTATGCTGTCTGCTATTATTTATATTAAAAAGATGAAAACATTCTTAAGCGTCGAACGTGAAAAATACATTTGTAGTAGAACACCTCGAAAACTCATTGAGCAAGATAAATCTCGTAGATAGCAAACTCGTGTATTCTCTAATGAGATTTTAGCTGCAACGACTTTCAAGATGCGTTTCACACTTTGAACTTTGAGAGATGTTTTCCGCAGTTTCGGCACGAACGGCGCCAATTATTATGTCGTGAAGAGCATGCAGATTGACATACTCTCGAACCGTCGAGGACGTAACAGTCGCGATTACGTGTTTCGTTATCAGTATGAACACGAGTTCATCATGGTTTTGCTCGAGCACTTTCTACCAGGGGTAGTAGAACGGCGAATAACTTCCGTGTACGTACTTGATATCGAATAATATTGATCGATGCTCGGTAATCGTGTACAAATATTGTATCATAGTTTGAGGATATTAACCGGTTATGGGAACGATTTCCGTGAAACGAGTTTGAAAGTTGACTTGTACAGTGGTGTGAGGGAAACGTGGGTTCCGGGGCACTTGGGCACACATTGTAACGATAGATATCCGTAGCGAAAGACATTGATTATGTTTTACGATTCTCCGAGTGGTGATTGACACAGTTCGCGGGGATCGGTATGTAATTATTTATTATCCGCGGCGTGGAATCGTGTCACGGTTGCTTGAAGAAGGATGTAAAGTTCGAGCCCCGGGATGAGGTCTGTAATCGTGTATTTTACGTCAGCCTTAAATCATCTTCGAGAGTACAGCTTGCGACAATCTTTGCACGAGCGTGATTCAGAGCCGCGCGAAGTCCCCGATGGAACAAGTCGATTGTCCTTGAGAGTTCGATCAATATGGTAGCCGGTCTCCCATATTGCTGGCCGCAGGAACCCCAATGCGTTCACGATATTCCTGCAGCACTGTACATATCGGCGCACGAATAACTCGGGGCATGTTCTCGATTCGCCACGTTGTAAAATACTTTGCAAATCGCCTTGAACCTAACTGGTGATATCATCAGGGCGTTGGTAACGTTGTACCATTGATCGACCGACAACGAGGCTACGGTCTTTAATATTAAGCTTGCCACTGTCAGGTGTCGTTTAGGGAGCCGGAAGATGGTGAACTATGGTCGACGGAGAAGCAAGGCGCGCCGGTTCAATCGTCGACGGCCAGCCAGCGTCAGGAAGTGACGGTCAAGGCTCAGATCCACCGATCTCAGAGTCCGCCCAGGAAGAACTCCGAAATAGTGAGAAAAACTAGCGTAGAATATGCTGTCAGGAAAGTCAGCGTGGATAGGAAAGTAGCCGACAAGAAGGTCACGGGTCCGGCAGACCCCAAGAGGTCCAGTTCCAACAAGAACAACGTCCAAAGTAACTTCACGAACGTGTTGAGCGAACTGAAGAACCGCAAGAGCAGCGTCGACAGCAACTTGTCGAACTCGAGCAACAATAAGGGTGTGCCGCCCCCGCCGCCTATGCCACCACCTCTGGAGTCGCATGATCCATCAGAATCGAGACCGTTCCTTGATCCTTATGGCAGGGCCAAAACCGTTCGAATTGGGAAATGGAGGTACACATCGTTAATTTCAAGTGAAACACTCAATGTTGCTTTAAATTATCTTACTAATTCTTCATTTGTTAAATTTATCTACGAATATTCTATTCTGTTCTTGTTGCCACTCCCATAAAAATGAGGGTCATCGCCAGTAATTTTTAAGAGAAATACGAATCCGATTCGAAGTCTTCTTCGCTGCTTTCAATCGCCAGGCGAATCGCTGTATAAGAATTGATTTCTCTGTTCGCTTGACATCAGGTGGCCTCCGCCAAGCGACTCGAACGAAAACCAGAGTCAAGACAGCTTCATAGAGTTCAAGATGCGCCAGCAGCAACAGCAGCGCAAGATCACGCCGCAATTCGGAGAGTACAATCAGGGAGACGGCGAGCCGAGCACGGAGGGCGCAGTTGAATGGGAGGAATTCGAAATTGAGAATATCGTTGGCAACGACGAGAGAACGGTAGTGACTCATACGCCGGTTCCCGCGGCTAAGCACGAGAACGGATACAAGGAGGAGGGGGAGAAGAAAAAGAAGAAATCCAAGTACGATATCGTGCACAATTGCACGAAACCCCATTCACTTGCTCGTTCAAGTGAAGAAAATTTCCTCACTTCCACATTTAATTGATAGCTGTTACGACGATGTTTCCAGGTCCGCGCTGGAGGTAGGCGCGCAGAGGCCTTCCCCGGGCAGCATTGGCAAACTGAAGCTTAGTTCCGAGATGAGGCAGAGACTGGAGAAGGTGACGGCCAATCACAGTGTCAGATCGACGAAAACTGCTGAGAAACCGGCGCTGCCGCGAGACGACGACAAGGTGAAGCGGCTCGAGGACAACAGGAAGCTGCTTCTCGAACAGCAATTGGGTAACACAGCTGGGATTTGTTGAAACGTTCTTCGAGAAAGTACAACAGCATTGGAACTGCATGAGATATTGAACATCGTTTTTTCTTTTTTCTTTTTGCTGAATTTGTAAGCTTCAGTTCTCGCGAACGGTATAAGTTCTAAAATTTATCGATCATTATCAATTGTTACGTATAATAAATTATTTTAAGAAGTTATTGAGTCATAGGCTTTTGAAAGCATCGTTTCAAGCCCGAAAAGTAGTCATAACTGGATCGCGAATTTAACGGATTTATGACAAAATTGAGTAGAAAGAAGGTGGATAAAATTTGCGAATGTCAATAATTATATTATTTCCAAGCTAGATAAATCATTGAACTTTTTACTTCTTGAAACTGGCGTAGACGATTTTTGTCTCGCACAAAGATCCACGTTCAAGTCATATCTCGGATGAGTACTTTTGTATCAAATTTTTCGTGAAGAATGCACTCGCAATTAACCCATAATTGTGTTCATCGGACAGTATCAAACCCAGTTTCGAAGAAACCGTGAATTTCAGCTATCCAATGCTGCTGCACTCTCCGGAGTAGTCAGCTGCAGCGTATTGTCTGATTTCTTGCAACAACTTTGCAGTCGCTACGTAGTTTGAATGGCTTAGAGTGCGTAATTAGCTGAAGAGTGGTTGTGAACATGATTTGACGCTTTAAAGGAGGTCGATGGGACGATTATGCATCCACGGCGGATGACACGCAGAGCGTCACTTCGAAAGGCACGACGGACATGATGACTCAAGCTCAAGTAGTCAGGACGCAGATCGAGAGGATGGAGAGGCCCGTGCCACCCCCGCTTCCGGTGACGCCTCCGCAACCCCCTAGTCCTAGAGGCGGAAGCATGTACAGTAACAGGTACTTTTCGTCCATTGGAGCTGTTGACCAACAAGCTCTCCAGGTTCGAACAGGTTCTAATCGCCCCAAATTACAGTCAGTCCAGCGTGCCGCAACCAAGATCGCCGCCAGCCCCAATCGAGCCGAAAACTCGGGACACTTTCAGGGCGTCCCCAGACTCGGAGACTTTCGACCACTTCGCGAAGGCACAGCGCGACATGTTCAGCCACAGTCGAGACATATTCGCGTCCCAGCAGCACCTGAGAGAGGCCCACGAGTACAGAAACGACTTCGACAAGGCTAGGTCCCAGGACCAGAAGTCCAAGGACTTCTACAGCAAGGACAGCACCGACATGGCCAGCTCTGCCCGGGACAGGAGCTCGGACTTCGACTCCCGCCGGGACTTGAACTCGGACATTTTCGACCCTAAGTATGCCAGAGACATATTCGAGAACTCGAGCTCGAAGAGGGATCCCTTCGGCATGACCAGAGACGTCTCCCCGAAGTCCAGAGACAGTTTCGGTATGCCATCGTCCAGGGACTTCGGCGTCATGCCGAACACGAGGGAATCCTTCGCGGTTGCTCGCCAGAGCTTCAAGAAGATGGACCGCGAAGTGGACAGAAGATCCAGCGTCGCGTCTACCCATCGCACCGACAAGATGGAGAGGATCGAGATCGAGGAGTGGCCCGAGTTTCTTAGACCTGTTCTGCCACCGGCCGATAAGCCGGAGATAGAGAAGGTGCAGGAAGTGATGAACACCAAGCTCTATCCCCAGACCTCCACTGCCCACTTCACGTACAATCGAGTGACTTGGACGCTGAGGGTCAAGAAGGAGGTGTTCGCGCCGAACGAGACCCTCAACAGCCCTCTAGCACTTCACCTGGTCTTCTGCCAGGTCGCTTACGACGTCCTCGCCACGTCCAGCATCAGGATCACTAAAGAGGATAGGCAGAACATGCTGAAGATGCTGGACAATTACGGTGTCACGCTGGACAACCTGCAGAGCACGCAGCACAAGATCACGATCAAGAAGAACGTCGTCGACATGGCGAAACAATGGCCGCTGTACTTCGCCAGGATATTTCCTGTGTCGGTGAGTGCTCCAAGATCCATAGACGATTGCCACACCGCGCCGGTCTTTGTGCAAGATAAAAATGTCTTGCACGCGTTACAAGGAACGGCAGCCACTTTCTGGTGTTTCCAACTACAGCTATTAGCTTTTTTCTTTTTTGCCCTAATTGCATAAAATCCGTAGTCCAGTAATCGCGATTAATTGGGAATTGCGCTTCAGCTTCGCGGTTTTTACTCGGAGCCGCAGCTAATTTCGAGTTCGTACGCGACTAATCAGCCATTCTCGAAATGAAAGTCTTCGATTGGAAATCGGGGGTTTTGTTGGTATCGTGCGGCTCGATTGCCGGCGAGTATAATGTCCGACTTCGGTGCATTGACGACGCAGCTGCCTTCGGAATTCGTAATGTCCGCTGTTGTATCCGCGAGTACCTTTTGTCCATTGTTCGCTGCTCGAACGTAACGCGCCTGTTATTTTCCTTCTCTTTCGCTCCGAGTCGAGAATTTTCAGCGTTTGTCACGAATTCCTTGAAACTAACGATACTCGCGTTGATCGTTTAATTAGATCGGTCCCCAGCATCCGGAGACCCAGCACGTGGCAGTCTCTCATCACGGTCTGCGGCTTGTGAAACGCACTCCGCAAGGCGATCTGGTCATCCTGGAGACTCTGCCTCTGGAGGACATCGTTTCCGTCAGTTCTCCACGGGCTGGTGTCTGCGTCATGCAGATCGCGTCGGGCGTTAGGCTACCTTTGCATACGAACCGGGCGCCGCAGTTGACGGAGATGATCAGCAATTACATCAGACTGGTGAGTGACAAGTATTTACTGTTTGTTTTTTCTACGGAACAGGTCGGATTTGTACCGCATCCGATAAGTCGACTGCGGATCTTCGTGCAAAATGAAAATCACGTTCATCGGTCGCGACGAGCGTGAGACGAACAGGAATTTCTTCCTTTTTACAATCATTTCAGTGAGTCGAAAATAATGCGTTGATTTCCTTAAATTTTTACTGTATTTTCATTGTTTTAAATTTCACGTTCGTTTCATAAATGCATAAAATCCGCGGTCTACTAATAAATGTGGTACTTGGTTTATTAAGTTATTTTTTTAAGTAATTTATTATTCATCTTTGAAAACCAATTTTTATGTTAGGATAAATTGTAACTGTGTAGCTTCAGTCTCATTCGCTAAACCACGTTGACTTTAAATGACTTCTCTGAGCACGGCGCGTTAATTTCATGTGAATATTAATAATAATCGCAGAGATTTAATTTCGTTAACGAACCTCTCTTCGGAATTTTGAAACTGGTTCGCCTTGATAAGGTTACAATTCTCGGAGCACTCGACGAAAGAAATACAAGATACATCAAATTAAAATTTCAAATTCCGTTGCGGTGTAGTGGTAAACTAATCAAATTAGCACATTGATAATTAACTAGATTGAGACGGATTGATTCCGACGGTAGATTGCAGTTATTCCCGGATTAGAAAACCCGCTTCCTTATTTTTTTTTCGTTCGATTAAAATGTATCAGGGTTATGATTCTTTTCACCGGAAAATAGAACGCGTGCCGCAAAAACACGTAAAAAGTCCGAAGGATGTTCCGAATTTTTGCGGTGAGCCGTGCATTCCACGGACTTGTGCTCGCCGCATTTCTTCGGCGATGTTTCCTTTAAAGTCGATTGGTTTCTCTTGTAACCGGTACCCACATCGAATTATGCGATTCGGAACAAGCGATAGAATGCGGTTAATTTAATAACAGCTGCTGCTAAGTTTACATTCGCGGTGTGCTTCGACGGCAAACAGCGTAGAATAATTGCACTTTAATCGATGTTCGAACGGGTGTTAGAACTTACATGGCACGCGGGATATCACGTGTCTCGGAGAACGTCTTGCTACACCTTGATTCATACTGAATCGCTGAAATCGTCGTCACAGATTCACGAACTTTCTCCGAATTAATCGAAATTCGACTTAATACTTTAGCATGACTTTCGCAGAAAAAAATAATTTTCATAATAACCATGTTCTCAGCATTAATATCTGGTCAAACATGAAACATTTTTTTCTTTTCAAGGAAAACATTACTTTCGCGATGTGTTCTGAATATCCAGAGAGTCTGAATTATTCGATATGTATGTAGAAGGTATGTGTAAATTGCTATTTGAACCAGAAATTACTGTTTTCGAAGGGACATAAATATTTACGACCGAAAAACAATTTTTATTTCGTCCGTGTTTTACATCGCTTGAAAGTCTCCATTTTTCACTTCCAAAATAGAAAATGATCTATCTAGCGTTTAAATATGGAAAAAGTGAACTCTTTTGATATGTTCATTGACTTGTAGATCAAAATGGTACTTTTGTACCGTAATTTGTATTTAACGTTGCTCTCCTTCCTTAATTTTACCGAAATCCAAGATCATGTTGAAAATACTCAATCTTTTTCGATCAGGACTAAAAGAACATACAATGTGTCAAAAAAGTTTTCGTACACCTTTCAAAACGGAATAACATTTTCATAACTGGACCAAGCGATCTATCGAAGGGATGATAAAAAAATTAAAAAAAGTCCCTTCAACTTTTCGATCCGAAGCTGTAAAACGAAAAATATAAAAAATGTGTTTCGAATATCTCGGCAACTCTTTCTCCATTTGACGGAGCTCGATGTTCGCGTCGGAACAAAATTGCCATAAATCCGCGAAAAATGTCCGAGCCGAAGAAACGAAAATTCCGCCCGAAGCGAAAGCTGGCAAAAGAGGAATGCTAAAAGTTGACTCGGTCGAAGCAGTAATCAGAGGTCGATTATCCCATCAGAGGCAAATGGGGGGAACGTCGCCCGTGCTATCGCAGGGCCGTTTCAATTTCTCGCGAGGAAACTGGTTGTCTCGCGCTGCCATCCCGGCACGGCGATCTCGGCAGGATCGCCGAAGGTCGGCAGCTGCGTTAGATCTTGCGCAATTAATCGCAGCTGGGTGAAGTAACGCGATCGCACGTGTGGAAATCGGTACGCGGCTGTAATAAGCGCCCGAAGAAGGATAACCAGGAGGAAAGGGGGGGGGGGGTTCGAAGGGTCCGCGCGATCGAGGCTGTCGAGGCGCGCGTCCGTCGGACAACGCATTCCACCGCGGTAATGCGTGGGTAGCGGAAAGCAAACCCACGATTTCCTCGAGAAAGGACGAACCTGGGTAACGACGTCCCGAGGGAGGTGTCTGCGCGTGTCGCTGGGCGACCAGAAAAACCAAAACGTGACCTCGAGCCGGTTAAACGCCGGTGGCTCCGTTAGAGCGCCTATTCCTGACGCGATAACACACACTTGACAAGTTCCGGAGCACATTTTCATCTGCGCTTATCTCCCTGACCTAACGCACAATTTCTGGTTTGTCCGAAATTAAACTCGAAATCTCTCGAAACTGGAATTTTTGCAGTCATTTTTGTGACTCGAAACTCTCGAAAGCCAAGTAAATTATAATTTGTATAAACAACCTGCCAGAATATTGTGACGATATGAATTGATTTTTATTTAATTAATAATGATCCAATTGAGTATGCGTTTAGACTACAGATACATTTTAATTGATGCGATTTCACCAATCGACTGCAATCGTTCATATCGAGAGAAAATTCAAATATAACGACGTTTAATTCTCATTTAATTATATTCGACAAATAATTTAATTTCCTGAAAAGAATTTGTCAAAATTTGAAGGTTTCGAGACCTCGCAAAGTTTTGAATTCGAATTCCGCGAATTTAAACACGAAGTTTCGCCTCATTCCTAATTTATTTATTTATTTTATGCATGACTAGGCGAAATAACAGAGTGCGAAGACAGGAGGATTGCAGAATATTGTCACTGAAAATGTGAATTGAAATAAACATCCTCAATTTATGCAATGAATATTTTAATTGAATTTCCACTTTTCTGTTTCTGTTTCACTAAACAAACGACTTTTTATTCGGTAATTAACCCATTAAGTTAGCATAACATGTTGCAAGATATCAACGAACAAGGTTACAGCTAACAAGAAACATGATCAAGAGAAAATTAATTAATAACGCACTTTTACATTATAAATTATGCGCTGGAGAAAAGGAACGACTATTTCTACTAATTAAATTCATATTACAAAATTTGAAAATCGTAATACGGAATAACTGTGTCGATAAATTGCAGGAACGTACATTTGGTTAGTTTACTGGTGATACAAATCATTGAAAGTGGCACTTATAGAAAGTAGCGATGAGGTTAGTTTCACGTATACATTTTCTATGCTGCAAAAACCATTTGCAATCTACCTTCACGATAAGCTTTCCTGTTGATATCGGCATAATTATTGCAACAAGCTTTACAAGGTGCGATTATAGAAGAGAGATAATTTATGCTAATACGCGGGTATTTAATCGACTATAGTCGGCACGACTGGAGCAAATAAATACATACTCGGTTCCAGCGAAGTAGACGTTGATTAATCGTTTTCGAATGCAGCAGGAAGTTCACTGAGGTTTTCCATTTCCTCGTTTTCTTGTCACTCTACTTCACGAGCCGGCGGCGTCGCTGGAAATGCTCCTGGTTTTACGCTGCTTTCAGAACTGATGGAAGCGATGATCGCCGGAGTCGATTACTTTTATTGGCACTGTGCAAGCAACACAGGAACGATAAAACCTTCGTTGCTTAGACTTTGGAAAGCGGACGATTTATCCGGGACGAAACATGGTATTTTCGTCAATTAAGATTTCGCCGTGGGAAATCACTATACGCGCCGCAGATTATTCGCGAAAAAATTTCGAGGCAATGATACAGATCTAAAGAAATTTGCAGTTCCATAAATTCGTAACAACTAGAGTGTGAATATTGACGCGTGTTCTGGTTTTCGCGGCCTAATTTAACGAAACTTATAATTAATTCTTAAATTGAATCTTAATTAGGTTAATAGAAATATAAAATATAATTAATTTAGTCTATATTCATGTGATTCCTTTAATTTACTTAGGTACGTTCGATGTAACAGCATAATCTTTTGATCAGAAATAGTAATTATGAAAAGTAAAGTGTTTATTTATGCCGCTTAGAAATATATGAATACGATTTATTTACATAAATTGATTCGATTCTATTGATCTAAAATGGTAATATGGAAATATGAAATTTCGCTCTACGTCATAATTTCTATTTATTGAGACTACGAATGTGGGGAATAGAAATCTACTTTTTCCCGCATTCAAATTGATACGGATGCAAATTCGCGTAAAAGTTCGCAGCCCCATCGCTCATCATTTGATTGACCCATCAATGCCTGGGGCTTCGTAATCCGTCAAATTGTCGCGCGAGACACGGACTCGATCGTTAATAAAACGCCGACTGTTGTTGCGCGTATGATGCATAAACATTCGAGATTCCGAAACATCCTGCTCCGTTCTAAAACGAGAACTGCCGACTTGTCAAAGAACGGGTCGCGCGATAAGAAGTCTCAGGAATGGTCGGGCGGAACTGTACGCAACAATAGCTTGTAATCTTGTCAGCCGTGGCGTGAATGGAATCCTGATTAATTATCAGAAAAGCAGCTCGGAGGATTTATCGACGAATAGACGATGAGCCGCGTTTTTGAACGCTCGCTACACACCGTTATTTCGAAATTGCCTTCGACCCCGATTCATTCCTCCCTGGCAAATATGTAGCCCTAATCGCGGATGATAGACCGCCTGAAATCAGCGCTGTCTCTAATCGCCACCAAATAGGAGCTTTATCCGGACTAATGGGGGACCTCTCGTAATTTATACTCGTGATAGAACGTAATTACCAACCATTG